AGCACTTCAATAGTCAAAGCAACTCACCCAGAGTGTGATAATATCAATGCTATGATTACATTGTGAACATGTTAACAGCATTAAGATGTGTTTATTATTCATACTTACAGCTTCGTCAGCAATGTTAATGCAATCAGTAAGCGTGAGTGAAACTATCCGCGGAGTTAGACATGCCCACAAACCAGCCTCTGTTATTTCATTGCAGCCTGTTAATTCTAACTCAAACAGAACCTAGAAATAAACATTACAATGATATACCAATATTTCAAATTGACTCAGAAAAAAACCACTTTTAACTTTTGATTGAGACCAACCTGTAAATGATCAAGTATAGCTTCTAATCCCCGATCTGTTATAGTGCATCCTTTCAATCCAATGGCATGTATGTGGTGAGCAGAGAGAGGAAACTGCCGTATGAATTCGTTAATGTCGTCGTCGGTGGCGGACACGAGCACGACTCCCCGTATGCCTCTCCTAATTATAGAGTTGTAGAACCTCTGCATGCAGCATCCGGAGGTGGTGCGCAGCTCGCGGCAATCCAGCACCGCTACCAGCCCGTTCCACCAGCGTGGAGACGAATATAGGAGATCGCGCCATTTGGTGCACACTTGCGCTAGCGTCCGGCGTTCGTTTGCATTAAAATAAAGGAAGAATTTTTCAAGGAATTTCTCGTCTAAGATAAACTGAGGCCATAATAAGGGTCGCGGGTCGAGACGTTTACGACGTGGCACGCGTGGCGCGGCGTGCGCTGGTCCACAGAGAGCGCTGGCCATGCGCTCGACGACGCCAGGCGAGCGTTTGCGTCCGCGCAGCCCCAGCCCGGTGATACGGCGAGACAACTCCGCAGAGGCGCGCTCCACTACACCTTGCGCTGACACTGACGACATCTTGACTCGCACACGCCGGATGGTGTCAGCGGGCCGCCCGCCGCCTGGCCCCGCTGCGCCCGCGCCCCCCGCCCCGCCTGCACCCTGCTCGCAGCCCGCCACCGCGCTGATAAACAACCAGATTACAATACAGTTTTGTCAATTATTAATCTGGGACCTTACAAACCAGTTAAAACAGATCATATGTATGCTATGTTAAATGTATCCTGTTACATTTCTACGGAGTATGAGGAATTAAATTTGCTTGAAGTCACAGAAAATAATAAAGTGAAACATCTTCTTAGACAGCTGTAAAAAAATATTTATTAAAAGTATTGAGAAAAAATTGTAAACATCATAACTCTACATGCTTGAAAAATACTTTACATTTATTTTTTTCTATAAAATTTACTATAATTACGATAAAACAAGGATTACTTAATTTGGTTCTGGGTTGTATAATTTTTGACTTAACACAGAAATAATGTTCTGAAATAAATGTTCTATGAAATTACTAAAATTTTAAGCTATCTCGTAAAATTTGACCCTCTAAGAGGCTAAAAATGTTTGTAATAGATAATCTTCAAAAAACTTATTTAAAGGGAAATGTTTTTTTAATTCTTTAAATGTAATACAATGTAAATAAATTATTAAAGTCATAATAAAAGGTCTGTAGTGAATTTCAGGTTATGTTAATTCTGATAATTCATTAAATAAAAGAGTAATTTTCAGTATTTACGAAAATAGTTGGCAATGTAAATCAAGAATCTAATTTTTTAAACAGCTTTTTACTGTCAATACACTAATTACTAATTAGATAAATATATATATTTATTTCGGCAAATAAACAAAATGATCGATGTGATTTTGTACAAACCTATAAATATGAACCTGTCAGTGTAAGAGATTTCATGGCTATTATTTTAAAAAAAATCACTATTTTGATGTTTTTACACTGCACCATGTAAATTAAGAAAAGTAGTTACGCAAAATAAAATATTACGAAATGCAACGAAATGACTAGAAAATAGACAAGTGACGCTGTCACACAGTCACAGTTTAAGGTCATAGACATTTTGACAGATTATAAAAAGCTTCTGTATCTGTGCATTACAAAGATTATGCAATTGCCATAAAGCTCATGACAAAGAAATATAAAAATAGGGAGGCGCCACTTACGCCCCAAATGGCAATATTATGCATTTCTCGTATCAGACTGATAAACATAATAAACTCTGGTCTATAAATATTCTATGCACTTGGGTTTTCTATATCATTCATTTATCCCAAAGATTTAACGATACACAGGTTTTCAAATATAGGAGGTAAAAGAAAAAACTTTTTTGCAGGTACTCTTGTACACTTTATTGCAATAACACAGTCTTACAAAACAAAATCAATGATACAATGAATTAAAATGATGGTAACTACAAATCATAATCACATTATATTACTGACCTAAACTTGTCAATAAGCCGTAATTTTAAATGTAAGTAGGTAATAACACTAGTTTGACAAAAAATGAACTATTGCACATTGGTCAAAAATTACGAAAATAACTTTAATTTCATCTCTAATCTAGCTTTTAATAACCAAATAAATGTTAGAGCTATAAGAATGAATTAAATTAAAACCGCATTTAGCACCACCAATATTATTTTGTAACATAACTCTAAGATAAATTAATATTTTTACACATTTACATAACACGTCACATGTAATGTGGATGCGCCAGCAATAGCTTCGTAGTTCGTAGTTACTGTAGGTGGTAAGTGAAAACATTAAAAAGAAGACTATTAATAATTCACTAACAAATATGTGTTAAATGTTTATCTGGTTAAGTTAATTAACAGAAATGTCCCTAAGCAGTGTTGAATTTTAACTTTGTACTATAAGAACACTGCCAAAGGAATAATGAATGAAAACTGTAAAGACGAAGGGAATTAATGCTAAAACAAGTCAATAATTAATTATACATAATGTATGTGGATATTTTTATCCCAAGCAGTTAGTGTAATTATTATAGAGAAACAACAGTGAAATGTATGTCTTACAAATAATAATTTAAACTACGATAAAACGCCAAACAAACATTATTATGCTGCAAATAAAATTTTGAGATTATTTTGGCTACCTACAACAAATATAAGGTATAAAATTTCAAAGGTTAGCGATCTTCATAAATAAAGCTAGCTTTTACATATAACTCGGCTGGAAACATAACAATAATTTTCGTTGTAGTTTCAGTCTTGTCATTTGGTCCTGTAAAAAGAAATATAATTAGATTATAATTAGAAAGAAAGGGCTATCGTCCACACATCTAAATTTGAAGATAACATATTTATACTGATAATTTAAAGAGTGCAGGAAAATTATGTCTTTTTGTATGTTTTGAAATAACCCAAAAACTACTAGGCCGATTTAAAAAAAATCTTTCACAATAAAATAGCTGTTATCAGTGAGTAACATTGACTAATTTTTATTATTTTTAAATTTCACGTGGACGAAGTCCCGAGCAACAGCCAGTCTGTTATAATTTAAGCATTGCTAGTAGTAAGTTATTTTGAATAGTTAGATTTAAGACTTCGAAAATTGGATATATTGTTTGGAGATACTTACGAGTGCAGTTTAGTGGTAAGGCTTGAGGTATGCATCGGTGGATGCGAGGTCGCGGCGCAGCCAGGCAGCGTTAAGGCGCACAGTTTCTAACGCCTGCTGCACGGAGCGCTCAGTTCCCGGTGAGTGGTGCGTGCGGAAGAACTCCTCGATTTCCTGAGCGCTCGCCTCAGATGCAAAATTCTCCGTCGTCGATTTCACCAGCCGAGCCAGTAGGAAACCACCCTAAGAAATACAAAAATAATATCGAAAATTAACAAAAAACGTTCTAGCAATCATAACCACATTTTTATATATTTATACCAGATATAGATTTTTTTACTTGTTTCTCGTTATTGCAAAAGATGACAATAATACGAATATACCTGGTAGCGATCCATAAACTCCTGCCAGTGATCTTTGAAGAATTCCCAGGCGAGGTCGCGGCCGTTCTTACTTACTGCTACTGACACTATCACAAATACAGTATCTTGGGAACGGACTTCATCCTGTACAAGATAGATTTTACATTAAAATTATTCTGGTAGTACTAGTTCAATAAAAACATCGTTTACAGAGAAGATAGTCAATAAACAGAAAAATAATAATTAATATGGATGTATGATATCAAATTTAAGAGAGAACAGCAGTTGACAGTTGAACGGACCGATATGGCGAAGTCCAGCACCCTCCTGAGCAGCTGCGGGTCGCGCACTGCGCCGAGCGCGCGACTGATGCGGTCCTTCTCCTCGTGCAGGTCCGCGGCGCGGTACAGCCGCAGGAAGCGCTGGAAGGTCTCCTCGTCCGCCTCCGCCAGCACCGCGCGGTAGCACGCCGACCGCAGGTCCGCCGGCAGCGCGCACACGCCCTCCGCGTGCTTCTCGAAACTAACACAAAACATCACATTACTGTCATTGACAACATTTATTTTGGACTTTTCTTATTCGATTATACAATACTAGTATTGGTGTATTAATTGTCACATATATTTTATGTTATTAATTTTAAGTTTTTAATGATTCGGCAAAGACAAAGTCATGGGCAAAAGCTAGTAACTTCATAAATACATTTACATCTGTTAAACACTACAAAAGAAAATTATACATACCGTATTTTCGCCTCTTTAATGGTAACAGGATCTTCAAAACTAATCATTTTGTTCAGTACAAAACTTCTTAAAAGTGTATCGAGATGACTTTCATTTTCCGCCGCGTCCCAACCCAATCTTTTAGTGACGCCAGAGAAAAGTTTTCGTCCGTAATTCTTCAAAGGTTTATCCAGAGCTGTATGCGAGAACAGAGCCGCCAGTTTAGACAAACAATTCGAGATTGTAGACCATACCGTGAAGTTATCTTCATTAACAAATGCTTCCATGAGTTTTAGCGACTGTAATAAAAAAAATAAACAATTAAAAAAAGTCGCAACAGAAATACTTTTAGTTACATAGTATATACAAAAATATCATACAAATGCATAGGTGGATGGATGTTTTTTAAATCTTAATGAAATTTGGCATAGATACAAAACTTAGTCTGGAAGAACACATTGTCTACTTACTACGTTTTTTATTGTTAGTCGCGAACAAAAAAGTAAAGTGATAAAAATGTTTACCTCTGCAGTTTGAGTATGTCCAGCTTGTACCAGTGCGAAGCAGTCGTCGAGCAGGCCCAGCCGGTCCAGCGGCGGCAGCGAGCCGTCACGGATAGCAGTCACTAGCTGCTCCAACATCTTGGGCGGGTAGCGCGTGCGGTAGTACCCCACCTGAAACATACATATCAAGATCAGTCTGTGCTACTATCTTTGTTATATTTATACTAATATTATATGACGAAACACACACTTCTTTGTTATGTAGGATCTCACAAATCACAGCTTATAATAATAAGAATATATATTTTTTTTTAATAAAAAGCTCAAGACTTTTTTAAACAAAAGGGGGCAAACGAGCAGCGAGAACACCCTAGGTGGTCAATAGGCCATGTGAAGGCCATGGACATCCGCAAGAGCAGAGGAAATATAGATGCGTTGCCAGCCTTTGAGGAAATGATAGGCTCTCTTCTTGAAGGACCCTAAGTCGTATTGGTTTGGAAATACCGCCGAGGACAGACCGTTCCACAACGCGACTGTGCGGGGCAAAAAGTTCCACGACAACCGCACAGTTGTGGTACTTACGTACGAAACTTAGAACATGACATGGGTCACATAATTTAATTCCATTTAATTTTGGGGGTAAATAAATCAGAAACAATTGTAATGCAAGAAAGGGACAAAAATTAAAATCCAATAGCAGCAAAGATTATTTGCCAATAGCAAACACCTGTCATTTAAATATTTGAATTTCAATATTTTTAATTTCTTACAGTTCCAGGATTGAGTTTGACCCATGAAGTTTCTGCGACATTCTCCAACACAACTTCTTGGCTTCTTTTATCCAGTACAGTTGACAAAGCAACCTGAAAATGAATTTATTTAAATAAATAATTTGATAACATAATCATATGCAGTAATCAAAGTGAACATAATACTGTTGATAACATTCAAGCATACTGCAAACACTACACAGAACTATTGTAATAATGATAAGGAAAATACAAAAAGCTAATACAAAATATGTACATATTAAATTAAAACACTAGTCCAGTCCACAAGAATTTTATAAAACTATAATGCATGTAAAAACATCTATATGTACTATATTTTATTTATTGTAGTAAGAAACTACATGTATAATTGAGGTGAGACATGATCATATTTAACTATGGCTGTTAATGTGATACTTGTTTACATACTTTATTGCTAATTCATAAAACTTTCAATGTTACTTTATAATTTTCAGGTATAGCACTATGTATTGAAGCGCACTCTTTCTGTGCATTAAAAGGGCCACATTTGGATGCTTCTTGTTCTTGTCGATTGACCAAAATATTCTGTTGATACTGTACCATGAAAATATCACTTTTGTATGTTTACATTATTAAGCAATAATACTTTGTGGAAATATGTTTAGGAAGATGATAACTACTGGTATTATAAAGAGGAAAAAGTTTATTTATTGGATTGAAATACATAACCAATTAAAAAAAAAATTTGATTGTTAGAAAGCCAAGTTATCACTGAGTAACAAAGGCTATAATTTACACAGATGGGAAGGATTTACATGTAACAGAAAAGATATGTACATATATTCTTTGCCACCCAGAGAAACTGGATTGGATTGCTAATAATATAGACATGTTAACTATAAAAGTAGGTCAATGTTAATATAATCCAACATTGATAGATAAGATAATGCAACAATTTCTAATCATTGATATAATTGCTATGACCTTTATATGCAAACATATTGAATTTTATCATATCAATATCTACCTTTGAAGGCTGCTCCTGTGTTGATATTGTTATTGGAATCATCCACAATGTATCGTCACCTTGGCTACCATCAGCACAGAATTTCTGTTGAGTCAATTTCAAGATACGATTCGCTCCTCTTTGTTCAGAACATACCTGAAATTATTTTGTTAAATTGTAGATAGAAAATTGAATCACAAAATATGAATTTCAGGGTATTTGTTACTCGATACATAATATTTGTTAAAATATATTGCAATAAAAATATTATCTATTTACTTTCTACATTTCATCACATTAAGATAAAGAACAAATAATGTAATATATTTCTCAATCAAATTTGTAGTTTCTGTCAATATTCTTTGAGTCAAATATTACTCTGATTATTTTATTAATCTTTTTAAAATACTAATAAACAAGAATAATACAAAAACTTTCAATGTAACCATATTTAAAAGGATTAGACTTAAAAGAAATACAGATGTAAAAATACTAGTTTATTATACAAGAAAAATGTTAATTGCATACATACTTGCACCACTGGAAAGCCCATTTGCTTTGTCCATGTTGACATAACAGCTCCTACAGGTTTTTTTGAAGCTTCTTCTAAAGCTGCCCATAAATCTTCAGTAAAAGTATTTTTATACTAAAAAAAAGTATTTAATATTAATTGCAGTCTTTAAAAACCAAGGTCTTGCTAACCAAATATATGTTTAAATATTTGTTTACCTGGTGTCTTGTAAGATATATATTCATTCCTTTGCGAAAATCATCATCTCCAATATATCTGTGCAACATACGAATAACTGAAGCACCTTTGTTGTATGATATGTCATCAAATATCTCATCTATTTCAGACGGGTGCCCCACTGGCACTTCTATTGGATGAGAATTCTTCAAGCAATCCAATTCTAAAGCCCTAAAAAAGTTGATTTACATGAGTCAAAACTTATTATTAAAAAATTGTGCATAAATTTATAACTGCAGTACATTTGCAAAGGTGAATGACATTTATTCAGCCATTGGCAATGTTCCATTTTTGTACAGAGGTTAAAACAAATTGATAAACATACATGACTAAGCAAATGTTTAATGAAGATATTTATGCCCCTTTGTGAATTACATTTAGTCTAACATACCTAAAATGTACAACGAAACATTTACACAAGACATGTAAATATACTTATATTTTTATATCACAAATGACTATTTAATTAATAGCAGATTTTAGCTATCACTTACCTTATATAAGTTTCGGTTACAAACTGTGTCCAGATATCGTAGTCAGGGAACAAATGATTCACACATAAGAATTCAACAAATGAAGCATAACCTTCATTCAACCATAGATGTGTCCACCATTCCATGGTGACCAAATTACCAAACCATTGATGTGCCAGCTCATGACCAACTACAAGAGCTATCCATTGCCTTCTCACAGCTGAGGTGTGCTCTTCATCTACCAAGAGACAAGTCTCCCTATATGTCACTAGACCCCAGTTTTCCATTGCACCAGCCGAAAAATCAGCAATGGCTATCAAGTCAATCTTCGGCAAGGGGTATGCAATATCAAAATACTCTTTGTAATATGGCAGAACTTTAGCAGCAACTTCCAGTGCAAATAATCCTTGCTTACTTTTACCCACCGGTGTATAAACTCTAACTAGAACTCCATCTCGAGATGTCATTTCAACATAGTCATACTCACCAACCACTACAGCCACAAGATATGTAGACATTACAGGGGTTGTATCAAAGTGAACCAATTTTTTCTCCCCTTGTACCTTTTCCTCCTTCACAGGCATATTTGAAAGAGCCACTCTATCTGCCGGAACTTCTAATGAAATATCGAATGTGGCTTTGATAGCTGGTTCATCCCAGCAGGGAAAACATCTGCGTGCATCTGTAGCCTCAAACTGTGTGACAGCAGCGTAGCGCTCCTCGCCGCTTGGTGTTAGGTATTTGCTTCTGTAAAGACCCTTCATTTTGTCATTGATTTCGCCAGTGAACTCACAGTAAAGTGTAGCATCACCCTCGCGGAGAGCCTTTTCGAACACAATAACTGCTGTTTCATCAGAGGTTGATAACCGCACTTCGTCAGGGGAGAGCGTCGAGTTGGCCCCTCCGTCCCCATATTCCAATTTCACGCTAGTCAAGTCCAAATCTAAACAATTGAGTACAATTTCTTTGGTAGAATTCACGATCTGAAAGTGAATACGATGTCTAATGCGTCACATGGAAACAAGATTTTTGCAATAACTAGATTATGATGAAATTCCTTCTTACCGATACTTTCACCTCCGTCTTACCACTAAAAGTAAATTTCTCGAGATTAGGAATCAATTGCAATTTGTAATGTTTTGGTACGACATTTTTAGGAAGTCGTTGGAACGGTTTGTTTTCGGGCATTGTCACTTTTTCTTTCAAGATCGGTAATGTGGGACGCTCAACCTCAACTGAGAAATACCGTAATGACCGAGTGACAGAGTGAACTCGCGTTGCAACCGCACCCGCACCGCTCGCGCCGTAACGTACCCCCCTCTCTCGTCTTATCGCCACGAGCTCGTGTTTCGTATTATAACGGTGTTCGCGTAACGATGTGTAATGGCGATTTAAATTATAATATTTTCTGTTTTGTAAATTATATGTAAATGAATTACGTATAATGCGTAACAACTGTAGAGTCATGGAATGCAATTTATAAGCCGCTCACGTATTAAAAATAGTGATAGTTTTCCACTTTATTAAAGTCCAGCTAACAACCTAAAACATTGTTATAACACCAAAAAACACATGACAATTAAATTTTTCCTAGCATCAGCAAAAATTCAAAGAGCACCAATTGTCATTAGTCAAACCAGGACATCTGAGCAAATTGCAAAAAGCGCTGCTATCGCGATATTTCTGTCAGAAATAGGCATAGAATTACAAATGGCACAAAAAAAGAAACATGAAATGACAACTACAATACGAAAAACATCTCATGACATTGTTTTGACGTTGACAGAGAGGCGCTAGTGTGCTATCATAATTTAGTTTAACTTTTGCCCACAAGTGAGATATCTTTGTCTATAAAATAAACCGACAAAGTAATAAGTAATCAGAGGTCTAGGGATTCTCGTTTCCGAAAATTCAGGATTTCCGATTGATTTTGTTCATTTGGTATATCGGTGGTATATTGATATTGCATATCGGAAGAGGCAGTGGCGGGTAGCAACCGCGATCAGCGCATATAAATAATTGTGTGAGAAACCTACCACCAGGCTTTATATCACTTACTTTCTTATTAGTACCATAGACAGAAACGCTTCGGAACAACTGACAAATATTTAATAATGAGTAAAGTAGGAAAGTAGATACAGCATCCCATTCCTTGAATTCGATTATAAGCTAACCTTTAACGTCCATTAAGTTGAATTTCGAGTGAACAACTTTTTTGGTGCTGGCTCTAACTTTGACAAAAAATTTAAGTGTTTATTAAAAACATGCTTCTTTTAGAATCACAGGATATTTCCCCTAAGTATGTTTCCCATTATTCCCATGTACGAAATTTGTGCAAATGGGAAGAACACCAAAATTAGATTCATCAGACGAAACATGGAATTGCTTCCCATTTCACACCTGTCTTCTTTGTGATTATGGTAATTCTCCGGAAAAGCCGCCCCAATCATGCGAATATTTTTAAGCAGACACTACCACTATTAAATCTTCGGTTCATCAGTTCCAGTAAGGTTCTGGTAAATAGTAAATACGCCTCCGTACAGGCATAGATAATACATATATGTCCATCCCTATTTTAAACCGAGACTGATGACATTTTAATCTTTATGAAGCAGTCGAAGCAGAATCAGGCAAAAATTTTAAGACTATAAAAGGATCTATAGTTTAGTTTGTTGTGGTGTTTAATCTTGCCAATATTAAATGAACTAGCTAATGTATATCTGAAATTGGCCCTACGTCCATTGAAATCGTTATTCGCTCCTTGGCAGTAACAATGAAGTTATTGAGCGGACCTCTTTTTTTATTTATAATTGGTAATTTTTGATACATTCTAACATAGAAACTCAAACCTTTTTTTTAAATAAAGTTATAGTGTTTAATTTGCATTATTCACAGTTTTTAGTTCAGTATCATCTTCACGGGTGTTGGAGTTAAGTGACAAATTTATCGATTTAAGCGGCGATGGAATGTGGTTCGTAAAGTTCTACGCTCCATGGTGCGCGCATTGTCGCCGTATGGAACCAATATGGGCTCATGTTGCCCAGTCGTTGTACAATACGCCAATTAAAGTGGCAAAAGTTGATTGCACGCGTTTTCCTACAGTGGCTACACATTATAAAGTGAAGGCTTACCCTACGATAATGTTGTAAGTACAAACCCACATAATATATACATGTTTGTATACTTTTGCATTTAATTTTTAGTAAAACTTGGACAAAAAATATTATAGAAATTCTTTAAAATATAGAATTAATAAATAAAATGTATCCTAATTTATATTTTCACCAACAGCATTAAGGGACCGCTGCAACATGTGTATACTGGTGAAAGAGAGAAAGATGACATGGTTAAATATGCCACAAGGATGGCCCAGCCAGCTGTGCAGAGAGTGACACATGCAGACAGTATTGGATATTTAAAAGAATCTCACAATGTCTTTTTTGGTTATGTTGGAAAGACAGAAGGAGCTTTATGGGTAAAGTATCAGATTTTAATGTTTTTTCAATATGGCCGGCAACTGTAATTCCTCTGATGTTGTGGATGTCCATGGATGTTGTTGACCACCTCTGTGTTACCGCCGCTTGATTGCCCCCTTCTCTCAAATAAAAAAAAATATGGCCAAGACTGTGTTTTATAATTTTTCTTCAATGTTGGAAATTTTGTTGTTCATTTTACTAAATGATTAGATTTGTATTAAGAAATGTTTCAATTCTAATTTTATATAATTACAGGAAATGTTTGCTCTCCACGCTGACAAGTATCAGCCACATACCTGGTTTTATGTCATGTCTAAAGATGTGATTAAGAATGAGTTAGACAGACCGCCTAATGACACTGCTGTTTTTGTTTACAAAGAGGATGGAGTTTACTTCTTTGATGGTATTAATTCTTAAAATTAATATTTAATATGATACTGTAATAAAATTTTACATAAATAAATTTCTTTACAGCTTGTGAAGATCTGATCAGTGACCAAGAAGCTTTGAATACAACTTTAGATAAATGGATCAACACTGAACGGTTTGGATTCTTCCCAAAAATAACCAGAGCAAACATTAACAACTTCATGGATATTAACAAATACATAGTGATAGCAATTGTCTCTGAGAACAAGCTTGGGGAAATTACACAGACAGAGAGAGATTTTAAGGATATGATTGAAAGTATCATTCGGTAAGAAAATTATTATGTTTGTCTTTGTTGGAATGTGAAATTGTTGTTGCCAAATATGTTGGTATGGTGTAATTGTTAATTTGTCAAACCATCAATAAAAAAAAATTAAGGTATCATTATTGTTTTTTT